TTGTTTACGTTTTGGTTTTGCTGCAATTTGGCCTTCCTGGTTTTGTTCGATTGGATATTTTAGTGGATTTAGATGATTTATCGTCTATTTCAAACCCATTGAATGAATTTCTGTGAAAAAATGAGTTTGTCGGTGTTTTTTCTATGATTGAAGAACCGGTCAAAGCGGCAATACAATTTTTGTGAATTTTCGACTATTTGGCCACTTTTTCCAATGAAAATTACGTGAAAATAAATGTTTGCATTGAGAATTCATCTTTGGCAGTGAGATTGAATCGAAAAATGTGGAAAATATCAGATTAGTTTCAGCGAATAGTGATATAACCTCAAAATTCGACGAACATTTCTTTTGCTTGTGGGAAGTGGCATCTTGGACTGATTCCGAACAAAAATATATGAAATCGATTCCAAATTCTCTGCTCTATCACACTAAAACTACCATTTTCTGTTTATTTAATACCGAAAACACCCTACTGTATAGTGCAATTTTGGAAAAAAACGTACCAGAGCTATTGTCGAATCGCTCTTGGATGAGAATCAATCGGGTTTTAGGCCACTTAGAGGCTCAAGATCAAATTTTCTGCATGAGACAACTATAGTATTATAATAGAGAAGTTCCATGAAAGAAACAAAGATATGTATGTGTGTTTCGTAGATTTGCAAAAAGCGTATGATTGTATTCCAAGATCTAAGTTGTGGTCGGTTTTGAGTGAGTACGGAGTAAATGGGTAATTGCTGAGTGCAATCAAGAGTTTGTATGCATGTAGTGAAGCTGCTGTGCGTATGGATGGAGAACTGAGCGATTGGTTTGAGGTGTGCAATGGTCTTAGACAGGGTTGTACAATTTCACCGCTTTTGTTTATTGTTTATATGGATAAAACAATCAAATCAGCCAAGCTGAGGGGTAACGTAACTTTGGGTGGTAATATTATTTCTGCTAGCGTATGCAGATGATCTGATCCTGTTTGGCAGTTCTGATCAAGAATTGCAAAATAGTATCAGTGACCTAGAAGCGGCTTTTACAAGCTTTGGCATGACCATTAGTAGCTCAAAGACACAAGTTATGCATGTTGGTAAGAGTCGAAAGACGATTAATTGCGTTTTGAATGGTATGCTTGAACAAGTGTCAGTTCTCCGAAGATGGAAAATTCAACAAAGAATTTGAAGATCGTAGAGTGAATGGTAATAAGGTAGTTGCACAACTTAGATCGCATGTGTTTAATAAGCGTGAATTGAGTGAAGAGACAAAGTTGATGATTCACCGGTCAATCTTCAGACCAACTGTCTTGTATGGAAGTGAGAGCTGGGTCGATTCTAATAACTTAATTCATGATCTTGAGGTGTCTGATATGAAAGTCTTGCGTATGATTTCTGGAGTGTCGCGTAGATACCAGTGGGAGAATAGAATAAGGAATGAGAGAATTCGCGAGGATTTGAATGTCGATTCGATTGATGAGACTGCAAGAAAGTCGAGATTGCGGTGGTTTGGTCATGTACATCGTATGAATGAGTCCCGTTTACCTAAGTTAATTTTGAATGCCGAAGCAAATGGTCCGAGTTGAGAGGTAGACCTCGAAGACAGTATTTAGACTCTGTTAAGTGTGATTTGGGTGAAAGAGGATACGACTGGAGTAGGGAAACTCAAGACCTGGCTCTCGACAGAGTGTTTTGGAGAAGGAATGTTGTTAGAGGAGAAGTGGGGCCACCGTTACAAAACAGACCAGACGCCGCAGGGCATTAATGGTCTTTAAACGCTTGTTGTTGTTGTTGTTGTCTTTAGTTCTAATTTGAATTTCATTGAAGAAGAATGAATTTCATTGATCTTTGGGACAACATGCAGATTCTTATTCAGATTAAACAAAAATGTGCTAGAATTCCATCACCGTTCACAAAGGACACATACAATTTTCTAATCGGACAATTTTATTTACTTTTATGGCAAAAATTGAATGTAAGAGATCTAAAAAAAATTCAAAAGATTCAATAAAAAGTATCATTTTTCAAAGGTTATTCCACGAAATTACGTTCCTCCGTGCTAGAGGATTTTCTAAGTTGGCCGAACCAGAGAATTTTTCCCATTTCTTCATCAAATAAATATTAGATGCAATTTAACAGTCATTTGACTGTCCTACAAAATGTAGACAAATCATGAAATAAGGCTAAATGTTCAAGAAAAAAACAAAAGCAAAACAAACACATTAAAAAATATCTGTAAGAATTTACACGATAATAACAATCAAAATGGGATTTATATGACGAATCGTGTAAAACATTAAAATATCGTGTAATTTTTAATGTTTCAAAGTTGACGCAAACATTTGACAGATGCGTATATCGGGTAATAGTATTGACCAATTCAATGATTTATTTGAAATTACACGATATTTTATCGTTTTTACACGATTTGTCATATAAATCCATGTTTGATTGGTATCATCGTGTAGATTCTTACAGATATTTTTTATTGTGAAGTGTTTTGCGTTGAGTGAATTGGAATAAATTGTTTGCATCGGTCACTTTATGCAATATGTAATCAATGCGAAATGCGCATAGTGTATGTTATGAAAATGTTGTCATGTTGGAAAATGTTCTGTTTTTGTATTTGATCTCATCTAGTTGTAACGTCTTTATGGTATTTACGTTTAAATGAATGCAAATACACCCAAGAGAAAATCCGTTGGTCATAATGTCAATTCACGTTTCGGAGGCTGCTTTAATGATTGTTAGACTTCAAATTGTATTCGCTTATGTATGATCTTCTTGTTTTTTGCCCTGGAAAAACTTGATACCTAATTCTTTTTACTTTTCTAGCTGAGCTCGAGCGGCGGCATGGCTTATGTGAGGTCGAACCGTGTGATCCTATAGTCTTACACTTTCGTTTCTTATTTTTGTTCCGTTTCTTGTGTTTTTTCGACTTCGTTTCTTTTTTCGAATCGGTATCTGTATCTGTATCTGTATCTGTATCTGTATCTGTATCTGTATCTGTAT